TTAAAGATTAAGACTAAAGACTAAAGATTAAGCCACCCAAGAGGTGGCACGGGCATGAATAGCCCGTTAAGAGTGTTAGAGTTTCTGTTGTTTCAGATTTAGCTACTCAGAATGAAATGTCCATGTAGCACGGGCTATGGTGAGCCCGTAAAGAGTGTTAGAGTTGTTGTTATAGATTCAGCTACTCGGAACAAGTTCCAAGTAGCACGGGCTATGGTGAGCCCGTAGTGGACTTACCTGGCACAGGAGCGGGGCAAGTAGCACGGGCTATGGTGAGCCCGTAACTTACCTGGCACAGGAGCGGGGCAAGTAGCACGGGCTATGGTGAGCCCGTAACTTACCTGGCACAGGAGCGGGGCAAGTATAACGGCCTATGGTGAGCCCGTAACTTACCTGGCACAGGAGCGGGGCAGACCATGAGTGTTAGAGTTGTTGTTGTTGTTTCAGATTTAGCTACTTTGGACGAAGTGTCCATGTAGCACGGGCTATGGCGAGCCCGTAAAGTGTTAGAGACATATTCTTCAACATATAGTGGAGTGGGGTATAATATTCATCTCTCCCCCCCCACCCTCTTCACCTTTCCCCTCTCCCTAACCCCCCCATCTCCACCCCCCCCTTTTCCCCACATAAACGCCCATTCCCTCCAGCTCTTCCCCCCCCCCCCCCATTGACCCTCTAGCCAAAGGCTAGGACCGCCTGCTGTCATAATTCACTTCTAGACTTTTCCTTAGCTTCCACCTCTCCATCTTCTCTACTCCAACAAGGTGTCTTCCTCAGGTCATGTTGTCTGGCTCTTAGGGACACAAGTACCTGCTCTTTTACTTGCTCTTGTTACCTTGGAAACCTTGAGGACCCAACCGGTCTCGCTTCATGCAGGTCGGCGTTCAATCCCCGACCGTCCACAAGTGGTTGGGCACCATTCCTTCCCTCCGTTCCATCACAAATCCTTATCCTGACCCCTTCCAAGTGCTATATAGTCGTAATGGCTTGGCGCTTTTCCCCCCTGATAGTTCCCTTCCCTTCCCTATTTCATGATTATTATTGTTGTTACGTTGAGGTGTTTCGGGGCTTAGCGTCCCCGCGGCCCGGTCCTCGACCAGGCCTCCTTGTCAAGGAGCGACCAGGTCGTGCTTATAGAATTGGAATGGTTGACTTGTTATCTCATTAAAGACAGAACCAGTTATTAAACAAATTAACTAAGATATATTAGTCTTTATTGGGAAAAAATCTTCAATTAAGTTACAAATTTAGTCAAAGATGGACATAAGTGTAGATATTATATAAATGGAAATATCTAGGTCAATCCGAGGCTGGACGCTAGACGCTATGGAAACTAGTTTTTCCAAATTTCCACAGTAATTACTATCGGGTATGTGCACAACATGGTTGGGTTGGCGGGCTGATGCCAAGCAAAACAATGCCACGAGACAATGTGCAAAGGTCATCCCCCTCATGAAATTCGCTCAATAATACCATTAATAATACCATCATGAAATTCGCTCAATAATACCATTACTCTCGAGTCTCAAATATTATTTGTGTTAGTACACAGCGTGAGACTTTCTATGCCTCGATCAGACCAATAATGTCAAATTAACTTGAAGTATAATACTTTATATAATAGGGGGGGGGGTAGAAATAGCCTAAGGGACTCTATCCCTTATGAGATGTATTTCTTTCTTGTCTCAATAAACATACTTGAACTTGAATCATACTTTTGACCGTAAAAAAGGAAAATCCAGGTGTTTGTTATTTATTAAATATTCTGCATTTCGGCCCCTCTTAATAGCCTTTCTCTCAATCACCCTCCCTCCCCCCCCCAACTGTGAGAGAGAGAGAGAGAGAGAGAGAGAGAGAGAGAGAGAGAGAGAGAGAGAGAGAGAGAGAGAGAGAGAGAGAGTGTGTGTGTGTGTGTGTGTGTGTGTGTGTGTGTGTGTGTGTGTGTGTGTGTGTGTAGTGCGTGCATAAGCTTTAGCGTGACCAATGCATAAAGTTTTTACGATGCATAAAGAAAAGTAATGAAAATAATTCAGAGCAGTTTAAAAGCATTGTAATAAATTTCGGAGGGGGGGGGGGTGGCACCAGTGTCCGGTGGCACTGCTTTGTCTGATGCCAGTCCCGTCCCGCCCATGTCGTGCACGTGCCCAAGAGCAATTACTGGGGAAAATTGGGTGAAGCTAGCTCTCCAAGCATCTGGTCTCTCTCTCTCACACACACACACACACACACACACACACACACACACACACACACACACACACACACACACACACACACACACACACACACACACATTGAATTGCAGCCGTTATCGTTCTAAATTATCAGTACGAATTCTCAGATGTGTGTTAGTACCTGTGGTCCGGGCTGGCGGTAGTGGAGGGGGGCCGGGCCAGGCAGCTACATCGTTATTTAAGAGCTGGAGATAAAGGGCTGGTCTATGCCCTCTTGGGTTTCTTGGACGTGACACGAAGTGCTGGTCTTCTGATGTTACCGTACC